GGATTTTTCTAATATTATTTTATTTGACATTACTCTACTGCAATACGTTATTATCTTACGATCAATTAATTATTCCGAAGCCTTTTTTCTTTATCCAAAAATGTTTTCTGCCCTGACATGTAATGCTTTACATTTTATTTTTTAATTTCAAATCGGTGACTTTTATCAAAAAAACACAAGAGATAAAAAAGTTTCTAAATAAATTGAACTATCCAAATTAACTTGCATGTGTATACGATTTTTTCTTTAAATTTCGTTAACAAGAATGATAGGGGTAGTTTATTTCAACCCCTTCCACTCATTTTAAAAAAGTGAAAAAATTACCAGAAAGTGTGTTTTCATAACAGTAATGCTTCCATAAAATTTCATTAGTCTATCTCTTTTCGTTTTCAAGATAAAAAATAAAAACATTGTTTTTCCGCCATCTATGTACTGCGATATCTCCCTAATGATTGACTTTTGACCCAACATTTATAAAGCAAACTACCCTTTATTTTTAACAAGGAATAACCCCCTGAAGTTTTTCGCATTTGTTTTAAAACACCCTGTATATGGATATACAGGGTTCTTCACCACATACGACACGGAGTATTGTAGCTAAACGATTAGATTTTTACAAATTGTAAGTTTTGGGTTCGTTGAAGGACTATTAGAGCTACAATTTAAAAATATTTTTACAAGATACAGAGTGTCCCAAATAAATAAAAAAATTCAAAGTTGTATTTTTTTAAATGGAACACCCTGTATATTATTACATTTTTAGTTTCTACGATTAAAATAAAGGTAAATTTGATTAAGGTTTATTACAGTTAAACCTTACCGTTTTTGAAATATTTTCAATTTTGTGAAACTGCAGCAAAAATTTTAAGGCTTCATTTCTCCAAGGGTATCAAAGTTTTTAATACTAAATATTTACTGAAGTTTATTTACTGATCAATTATTGCGTTGCAATAATAAAAATAATACTACCTTATACAGAGTGTCTAAAAATGTATTTTAAATAATTATTAGCTTTAAACGGCAATAACTTGTTTAATTTAAATGGAACATCCTGTATATTTTATGAGAATCAGATGCAGAATTTAATTGTCTATCAAATTGTATTATCCCATTTTATACCTATCTCTCTATGTTTCCGTAGAAAATGCATTTTCTTGTAATTTAGAACTTATTTATCAGATACCCATGGAATATTGACATTTTAGATTATTTTTAAAGTTGTACCAAATTTTTAGTACAGACACTAATATTGTCGATATAATTCGTTTATTTCATTAAAAAATAAAAAAAACTGTTTAAATATTCATTCAAGAGGACCAATTAATATGATTCCAGTATTCAAACTACATTAACTGACTGTTTGCGTTGATTAATAATAATTTCCCCAAATACTAAAAACTGAGTTTTGTATGTGTATTAGACAGTGTGGTAAAAAGTAACACCTTAAAAATGATATTTCATTTTTTAATAAATGCTTATTTATAACAACAGAGACGTTCATTTTGATAACTTATTATTATATTGATTTCTGACTCAAATCCACATTTATTTAGAATAATTTATTAACGAACACAATTAAGTATGTAATTAATTAGTATATGGGTGGAAATAATAGTGTTATATTTAATTAATGGTATACACTTTTATAAAGATTTAAATCATTTTCTTTTTGCATACAAATGGGCTAGTAATATTATCGTTTTGCTAAAAACCATAATATTACTAGCCTGTACATTTTGTATATTTGTTGCTTTAAAAACAATCTAAAATGTCAATATTCCATGGGTATATTGATAAATGAGGTCTAAATTATAAGAAAATGCATTTTCTTCGATAACTTGAAGGGATAGGTAAAAAATGGTATAATACAATTTGATAGACAATTAAATTGTGCATCTGATTCTCCTAAAATATATAGGGCGTTCCATTTAAATTAAAGAAGTTATTGGCGTTTAAAGCTAGACATTTAAAATAAATTTTTAGACACTCTGTATAAGGTAGTATTATTTTTATTATTGTAACAGAATAACTGATCAATAAATAAACTTCAGTAAATATTTCAGTATTAAAAACTTTGATACCCTTAAAGAAATGAAGCTTAAAATTTTTACTGCAATTTCACAAAATTGAAAATATTTCAAAAACGGTAAGGTTTAAGTATAATAAACCTTAATCAAATTTACCTTTATTTTAATCGTCGAAACTAAAAATGTAATAATATACAGGGTGTTCCATTTAAAAAAATACAACTTTGATATTTTTTACTTATTTGGGACACTCTGTATCTTGTAAAATTATTTTTAAATTGTACCTCTAATAGTCCTTCATCGAAACCAAAACTTACAATTTGTAAAAATGTAATCGTTTACAATACACCGTGTCGTATGTAGTGAACAACGTATATCATAGAATTTAACAACTTATTGCCCTGCAGATTTTATACATGTTGTAGGGACCAGTTAGACCTACTATAATACTGAAAAAGCCTACAATTAAGAAACTGGCGCTTATCAAGTTTTATTAGTATACAGGGTCCGGCAACAGTGCGTCGAGCGTCTATACAAAATTATACTATAAAATACTGTATTAAGTTATTTACTATAGGAGGTATGACGCACTATACGCAGACCCTGTACGTCAATAAAAAAAATAGTTGCATGGTACACGAGTCGTCAGAGTCTGGCTTTACACTACTGAGAGAAAATAATTCATATCCGCTGGTTTTCAACGTAATAAAGGTCTCTTAGTAAAAATCACTACGAGCAATCGTCCTCATGATATTTGAAATCGAAATAATCAATACATTTCATCATTGACAAAAAATAAACATGTTGATTTAAGCTAGGGTTGCCAACCGTCCTCTATTCCAGAGGACATTCCTCTTGTTAATCGTCTCTTTTCTCTTATTGTATTGAAAAAGTCCTCTTTTTTACAAAAAATTTATTTGAAAATATAAAATTTGTCTATCGCCAAAATGTTTAAAAAAACTGTTAATTTGGAAACAATGTGTTTTCGCTAATCCCACTCGTTCATACAGAAAAACTATACTTATGATCAAGAAATATTTGTAGAAGTGATGTATGTTTAGCTTTTTATGTTTACTTACTCTTAAATTATGTATTGGAATAAAATATTTTGTAGAAAATCGTTTGTTTTATTTACAAGTTTTGAGTATAAATATTTTTAAGAAAGTATGAAAGAACATCAACCGCATAACGTTTACATAACTTTCGGGTAAATTCTTGACAACATTTGGGGGAGGTTTCAAAAAATGTTATCTCTGGGGTTGCAGAGAGGGTAAAAAATACCCTCTCGTCCTCTATTTTTTATTTTGAAAGTTGGCAACTCTAACTTAAGCGGCCCATACATTATCAAACAAATTGCGCAACAAAGCGATGCCCAACGTTGCGTTGCACAACTGCATCACCCATACATTTGGCAAAATTTTAATCAAACTTTTTTATTAAAAGTTGTGCATTGTTCGAGAAACAAGCGACGCGACGTCCCGCCAAAAAAAAACGGCTGGCAATTAAAATATTGCACAACGAAGCGCAACACACACATGCACTAAATTACGCGTTGCGCAAACAGTTCCGTTGTACAAAAAAATTGAAACATTCTTGAAACTTATCAAACAATAATTGCATCTAGCCCCAGCAAGGCAACTATCAAGCTTTGGTAAGCGTGGTTATTTGGAGGGTGTTAATTCATTGGTTAGTTGATTATTTGGTGGGGTTGGTTGGTTTTTACTAATTTTTATTTGTTTTTTAGATATTCATTGATTTTCTTTATTTGTTTGTAATAAATTATATAGCGCGCCACAGCTGTTCTGCATCCGCTTTTGTCAAAAACTCTAACGTGATTGGTCAAGCTTAATAGTTGCCTTGCTGGGGTAGACACAAGTTCAAACAATTGCTCAACGCATCAAACAGGACCAACTTATTGCTCAACAGCCTGTGTTGCGCAGTTTGTTTGATAACGTATGTGCCGCTTTAGTTATTAGACCGAAATGATAAATTTTGAAACATTTTATTTTTTTAAATTAATCATAAATTATTCTAGAAAAATTAATGATAAAACACTTTCTGTTGATCGCTTGACGTAAAAACATTTCCAAATTTTATTTCAGTGGAATAAGTATCTAGTCAACATAATATGTTTATTTTTTGTCCAGGATTATTTTGATACCAAATACCTTAAAATGGTTGCTTGTAGTGATATTTACCAAGATACCTTTTTGGCGTAAAATAGGGCGGTAATGTATGGGTAATGTTTATTTTTTTCTCTCAGTAGTGGTAATACAGATACGGAGAAAAAGTTATTACTCTTCAAAAGAGTTAAAAAACATGAGTTATATACTGACATCGAAATCGAATTTATCATTTAAAAAAACATCCAGACACGAATTTTCATCCAAATATCGAAGTTATTTATAAAAATATCTGCGAAATGAAGTAATTTAGGACATACATTTACACGAACTTTTTTACTTATTTTTATCTGCAGAATGTTGTTGAAGTTTTCCGAGTACAATTCGGACAACCCTATAATAGGGTATAGTATTTCTACCGTATGAGCGAAAAAATCGTTGTCAAGTAATCTTAGAAACAACAGCGGATGATAATTTTGTAGCTTGGTTTAAATGTTGTGTTTCTACCATCTTAAAACATATCTTTAAACCCATTTTTGACAACTGTCAAATATAATTTCCAAAATAAAAGCAACACCCTGTATATGAAAAACGAGAAATATTTCAATGAAAAATTAATATTTTTGGGACACGCTGTACTATATATAATTTTAAATAATTTCCCTTAAAGTCAGTAAGATAAAGGTGTACGAAAAATAATAATTTTAATTAATTAGTTTTTTTTTAATTTAACTAATAATAATCAGCCAGTTTAAATGTTTAAAGTATATATGATTCATCCCTTTGATTCATCCTAAAATAAGAGAGCATATCAAATATATTTGTCTATATAAATAGTAATAATAAATACTTTTTTTCATAATTTGCTTTATTTAGCACCAGCCTATAAACTGTATACAGTATTTTTTACAAATAAATATGACAGGTAATATTCTTGTTTAGATATTAAATTAATACACAAGGGTAATAACACAGACTAACTTACATAAGTTAGTTTGTGGTAATAATAACATAAACGGAATGTTTTCTTTGTAAGTAAATCTACGCTTTTTGTAAAAATCACATTAACATGAGATATTACTAAAATAGGCAATATTTCTAAAAAAATTATATACATTATTGTATACAGACAATTTACAATATACTGGGTGTTTCAGTATTCATGTAGGTTCCAATTAAATGTGTAGAAAGCAAAAACCTTGAATTTTTCAAGCGACAATACAATTTACTCAAAAATCAAACTTAATTTAAAAGGGCGTAATTGTTATCAATCAGCATGGATTTAATGGCAACTATTATTTTTTTTAAGCTACTACTGCTAATTTATTCAGTTATATTAATTTCGTTTCAAAATCAATGAGGGTACAAAAAAAATACTGTAATCACTTAACATCTTGGCCTAGTTTTCACTACCCTGAATTTCGGACGTTTTCTGCAAAAGAATTATGTCATGGATTTTGAAAAGTTTGATTTTTTTCAGACATTTTCATACATCTATGCATGCAACCAAATATTTTTTTTATTATACATGTACATACCTATTATTGTATACCTAGTATATTTATTATGCATGTACATATATTATATAAAGGGAAATTAAAACAACTTTCGTTGCACATCAATGACACCATGCGTTGTCTTATGGAGTTTGCTGGTGGTCGTATTCATGTCGTATTATGATGTGCAACCAAAGTTCTTCTTCTTCTTCTTTTTTTATGATGGCTCTGCTACAAGGCAACCGCCAGCTCAATTTGGGAGTGACCAAGATGTTGACTGGCTCTAAACCATATCAAGGCCACTGATTCTTATCTGAGTAAAATGTATAATGGATAAATTTTAATATAACTAACTTCTATGAAGGTAACCTGTGACCTGTGACTGTAAAATGTTATTATTATTATTTATTAAATATATAAATAACGTGCTGAAAGGAAGATTATATCACACACAAAGGCACATAGGATAGAGGTCACACAAACAGACTGCATTCGGAAACTGAAACAAAAAGAAAATAAAAAATAGACAGTTGAGCATTATAATTTAATTCTATTAATGTTTAAAAATATCATAATAGTTTCTATTAATTTTTCACTTGGCTTAGACAAAACTGTAAATATTGATAGTGGAGTAGGAAAATTCATTTCAATAAATTTTTGATATAAATCCAAATTAAACAAAAAATTTATAGGACATTCTAAAAAGATATGATTAAGGTCTTCAACAGAGCCACACTCACAGAATGGATCTTCCTTCACTTTAATTTTATATAAATGGTTTTTTGTTAAGCAATGGCCTGTACGCATTCTAATTAACGTTGTAATATGTCTTCTATCTATATACTGGAAATTTTTAAACCATTGTTTATCTGGGAAGATTGTTTGTATATTAAAATACACATTGATATAATTCCTTCCATACGAGATTTCCAATTTTCCTTATAATTACACAAAATATCAGTTTTAATTGAATTAAAAATATCTATCGAATCCATCTCCATAGATTTCGGAATATTTAAATCTTTTCCAATATTAGCCAACAAATCTGCCTCTGTATTTCCCAAGATATTGGAATGACCTGGAATCCAGGCAATCCTGATGTCAAAACCATTAGAACTTGCTAAACAAATTAAACGTTTGGTTCTTAAGGTCCAATAATCAGCAGATGCTTTAAAGAGATTTTTACTAATTTTTTGAATTGAACTTTTGGAATCTGAAAAGATAATAACACTACGCAAGTTCTTTTTAATAGCAAACTTTACTGCATCATGAATAGCTATGGATTCTGCCTTACAAATACTTAAAGAACCAGTTAGTCGCGAAAAAAATTTAAAATTTATATAAGGAATATATATTCCAAATCCTGTTCTTTTATCTTTTTTTTAGATGCATCTGTAAAAATAAAAATATGAGAATTTTAAAACGTTCAGATACTGACAAAAATTGTTCCTTAATAGAAAAATCATGTTTATTAATTTGACAATCAACTAATTTAATAGAATCATTCAAAATATTAAAACTAACTTCATAACACGGAAAATTTTGACTAACATAAAGATTATCAATATAAGGCAGAAAGTCATGTAAAGCTGAGACCACATAAGGTACATTATTACTATTAATATAAATTGGATTAACAGTTTTTCTAATATTGTAAATTAAATTTATTAATGGATTATTTTGTAAAGTTAACAATTTAGACAGAAATTTGCCTACAAGTAGTATTTTTCTTCTACATTCTAAATCAATCATAGAAGATTCTCCCAACAACGCTAATCTAGGAGTAGATTTCATACAACCTAGACAAATACGTAAACCCTCAAAAAATACTACATCTAGTTTATTTAAATTTTTTTGACTAGTTGGTTTAATAAAAATTGTTGCAAATTCCAAATGAGATCTCACCAGAGCAGAAAAAATAATTAAAAGGGTACAAGGATCAGCTCCCCACCACACTCTACAAACAGCCCTTAAAACATTTAAGGCTTTTTTAGCCTTATTAGTAATATTTTCAATATGCAAATCCCACTTTAAATGTTTTTGAAAAATAACGCCCAAATACTTCACATTATGTTTATATGGAATAATGTGATTTCCAAGTTGAATCAATGGTGGCTGATCTCTCCGTTTGCCCTTAGTGAACCATACTGCCTCACATTTTTCCAAAGATAAAGAAAGATCTCTATTAATAAGAAAATCATTTACAAGCTCCAAAGCATTATTAATTTTTTCAGACATCTCAAGTATATTTGAACCCTTAACAAAAATTACCAAATCGTCCGCATAACCAATAATCTTTACATTTAAATAATTTTTAAAAAGTTCTGAAATATAAATATTAAAAAGAATAGTACTTAATGGAGAACCTTGCGGAATACCTTTAGTTGCTAAAACCGGACCTAAGAAGGAACCATCAGATTTTCTGGAAAATAACAATCTATTTTTCAAAAGTATAAAAATTAAATTAGATAATTCTACTGGAATTTGTAAATTAATAAGCAAATTATAGAGTTTGTATATGTTAACATTATCATATGCAGATTTTATATCTAAGAAAACAGCAATAACTGAATTTGACGAATTAAAGGCATCAAAAATAAAAGTAGATAAATAAGCAATATTATCATATATTCCCCTACCCTTACGAAAACCTACCTGTTCATTTGTAAACACAATTTTATTCTCCAAAAACCAATCTAAACGATTTTTAATCATAATTTCTAAAATTTTGCCACCACATGAAGATAATACAATAGGTCTATAACTCTCTGGCAAAGTAGGATTTTTGTTTTGTTTTAAGATATTAATAATATTATATTTCTTCCACGAATCCGGTAACACACCTTCAAATAAACATTTGTTATATATTTTAAGAAGATAATTTTTAGCAATCAATGGTAAATTTTTATACATGGAATAAGAAATATCATCCATGCCAGGTGCAGAAAATTTTTTATCCTGAACAGCATAGTTAAATTCCTGACTAGTGAATGGAGGAATGTTACTATTTATATATGTTGGCGACAGTGTAAAATTCGGATCTATGTATATACTAGACATATTATATAAAATTTGTTGTTTTAAATCATCTGAAATGTTATAACTATTAGAATTGCTGTTATTATTAGAAAATTTTTTAATTTTTTCCCAAACGTATGAAATGCTAGATTCCCTATTTAATGTTTCACAAAAAGATTGAAATTTTTGTTTTTTCTTTGATCTTAATTTTTTTCTCGTAACTGCAATACATCTTTTAGCATTGATAAAATTAGTCAAAGTTGGAACATTATTGAAAACATTAATTGCTCTTTTTCTGTCTTGAACCCACTGAAAACATTCTTCATCCCACCATGGGTTTCCAATTTTATGATAAGAACCACATTTTTTCAAAGGAATGGCATCATCAGCAGCTCTATTCATAATAAAAGACAAATCATTATAATCTAAAATAGTACTATCTTTCTCGATTAACTGCACAGCTATTTTATGTTGATAAAGATGCCAATCAGCTTTACTACAATTTCGTACACAATAACTATTTACAAAAGCTTTTTTTAAATATAAATTGTTTGATAAATTTAATTGTAAAATTGTAGGATAATGATCGCTATTTCCACAATCACTAATAACTTTCCAGTTAGAATTTATAGCTAATGCGCTACTGACAATTGTTAAATCAACTGCACTCAAACTGGAATTCGGATTTTGCACAAGAGTTCTAGAACCATCATTTAAAATCACCATATCATTTTCTATAATAAAATTTACAAGCCTTATTCCGCCCCTATTAATAGGAGATTCATCCCATAATGGATGATGGGAATTAAAATCTCCCATAATAATAATTTTATTTAAATCTAAACCATCTAAAAGTTGTTTAAACAGATCTTCCGAAACATTTTTATCTGAATTAATATAAATATTAATTAATATTAAATCAGCAATTTTAATAATAATAAATTGAGCAACTTCTGAATTAAATTTTTTTAAATTAGAAAAAATAATATTCTTTTTGACGCAAATTGCCACTCCACCATATCCATCTTCCCTATCCTGACGAATTATATTATATGATGATAAAACAAAATTTTGATTGGATTTTAGCCATGTTTCATTTAGAAAAATTATATCTGGAGACTCTTCATTTGCTAATAAGATTAAATTAGCACGATTTGAATTAACACTACGAATATTCCATTGTAAAATTTTTATATCTGATGTAGACTTCATATTGTCATTAATCTAAATTATAAATACAATATATAATTATAAATAATATGTATAATATTTGTATATGTACCATATATGTACTAATATAAATGTAATCTTTAAATATGTGTTAAAATAAATAAAATAACATTAAAAACCTATATCTTGTTCAAAATCTAAACTTGAAAATAATAAATTCTTAATCTTGCTTTTATTTTCTCTTGACGTATTCATAATAAAATTAATGCAATTATGTAACTCATCATTTTGATGAAATTCAAATGTCTGAATGGCACTACCAGGCTCAGTTTTAGAATTATGTGAATTAGAAGAGGTATTAGAAGAGGTAGACGGTAAATTTGAAAAATCTTGCTTTTGCGGTCTTGAATTTGGAAAAAATAGACAATCATCTCTAGCTTTTTTATCCACTCCCTTATGAACTATCCTTTTCTTGGCTGAATTTTCAGATATAACCTGTTGAAAGGACCTTTTTACACTATTTTGGAAATACTGTGTTCTTCTTTCAGAAGGTTTAATAATATTATCAATTTTCTTTGGTATATCTTCCCCATTATGTTTTTTAATTAATTCTGGAAAGTTATTGTTGTTCAAAAAAAATTCTCCATTTGAAATATAAGATTTCTTACATGTTTCACTGGCATCATAAAAAGTTAAATTTTCAAGGGCCATTAATTCTTTAATATTTTTTTGTCTAGAATATTCAGGACACTTTTTTGAAGATGACTTGTGGTCATTCTTACAGTAAAAACATTGTGTAACACAAGAAAATTTAACTTCCCCATCTTGTAAATGATTCTCCTCCTCTCCGCAATTAAAACATCTTTCTTTACCTTTACAATTGTTCTTAGTATGGCCAAAACGAAGACAGCGATAACACTGAGTTACAGGAGGAATATATACATTAACTGGACGTTCTAATCTATATAAATTTATCGATCTAGGCAGTATAATTCCTTTAAAAGTAAACAAAACAGTTCCAGTTGGTTCATATATAACAACATTATTTTTAAATACTTTTCTATTTAATCTCTTTACTTGTAAAATTTCAATTCCATTATTAGCTTTACAAAATTTCAAAATTTCTTCTTCGGTCAAGTCCGCATCGATTTGTCTTACAATTCCTTTGCAGGTAACAAAATTATATGGTATAAATATTTTATACCCTTTCTCAATTAATGTTTTATTTTTTAAAAAATTATTTGCTGATTGAAAATTAATAAATTCAACAGAGATTCTATTTAGACCTTTATTATTAATTCTCCTTATATCAGTCAAATTTAAATTAAAAATTTCTCTAGCTATTTTTATGTTATTAAACTTTCCAATGTTATAGCCAACATTAACCGTCGATTCCAAATAAACTACTGAAAGGACCATTATCATTTTTAGAATAAAAAATTGTTTTTCATTTTAAATTTTGACTGCGTTGAACCCAAACTAATTTCATCCACCATATCAACAGTATCAATATTAACATTTTGAACGCCATCCAGGGGGTATCCGCTCCCCCTAGCCTTACTCATATTTAAAAAAAAATTCAAGCACTAATGAATGTATTATATACAAAAAATAAAAATATATAACAATATGAACAAATCAAAAAATTCAATTAACCTAACAAAAAAAAATAATGCTCAACTTACCACAGGAAGGCCTAAGGTAAAGGTGCAAAAATAATTAAAGCTTTCAGCGTTTTTTCGGCAAAAAAACTCTTAAAGATTTCACAAATATCAGAGCTGGGTCACCAAACAAAGCTGAAATAAATGTCCAAAAAACCGCAGTCCTAACAGCACTAAAATTAACTAAAAAATTAATATTTTTTTCAGACAGAAAATGACAATGTCACAAGCACCGAAAAAAAGTGCAACCAAAGTTATTTTAATTTCCCATGTATAGTTTCTTGGTTAATTTCATAGGTTAATTTTCTGTAGATAGCTGACAGATTAAAATGTCTGAAATTTGTAGAATGATCAAAACATTTTTAACTTCTTGCAAATATTGTCCAATGCATGAAAACTAGGCATCAGTCATGATTCTAAACAATAAATCTTGTAAAAAAAGAACCTATTTTTAATGTCTCTGTTTAATACTTTCTCAACGAGAGTTTGTACAAGTTAGCCTCTAGTAGTTCAGTTTGTTTTTTTCTTACATCTTCAACATTAAGATTGTCTTTTTCAGTCGTGCAAACAATACACATTGCCTTATCCATGTTTTGTAAGAGTATATTAGTATTTCCACTAAGTTCACTACAAAAAAGATCTAATAAGCATATATATTAACAATACTAGGAGTAATGGTTACAATTTTTTCAAGAATTACTTACTCAATGAATTTTAATTTGCCTAAGTCAAATCCATTACGAAAACCATCTTCATATCCCTTATCAAAGCTCTGTTGAAAATTGCTCTCTCTCCCATCAGATAATCCTTCTCTCAAACCAACCTATGGATATAATAGTCACTTTAAAAACACTATTATCTTTAAACAAAGTGCAAAGTTAAAAATATTCTTTTTATATTAGAAAAGCAAAATTAAAAAAGTTATTACTTTTTTCATTTCCTGTTCAATCTTCTTCCATTCTAAACCAGATTCATAATGATCATTGTCGTTGTTTGTTCCACTATGCATATTTTAGGAAACGTTTATTCTAGTTTATATACACCATAAATTAAATCTTACACCATAAACCTTTGATACACAATTTTAATTTTTTTTAAATGTATTTTATATTTTCTGCACAGATTTTTTTAGGTTAGTCCGATAAGCAGGAAAGAGTAGGATTTTTACACCAAGATTTACACATTACAGCAAGGGGATTACAGATCTGTATTAGCCATATCAGCCCATTATTCAAAATATAAGTAAGGTATTGTCTCCTGATATTCCTAAATTGAAATTAAAACTGATGGAATTTACCTAAAATTAAAAAAAAAGTATTGTTTTTACACTACGCGCCAGAACCACAGAAAAAATAACTGAAGTTCTTCTTAATCTTTTTTGATACTATGACTCCAACAGGTGAAAAAAAATATTTGCCGCCCTTATGGCTTCTGGCCGAAATGATAGCCATGCTTGCTGGTTCGAATCCAGCATCCAGCTCTGGGCATGGATGTTTAATGTGTGTGTGAGTATGGAGGGCTTAAAAATGTATGAGTCTGTATTTGTCATAATTAAAAACGTTCAAAAACATCCGTGCAAATGACATGATGACCATTATTAAGAGGAAAACAAATTTACAACGGCCCAAGCTACGTCGAAACCGAAACACCCGGTTCCGTTTAGATCACCGAAGTTAAGCGACGTAAGGCGATACTAGTGGATGGACGATTGACCGTCTGGAAACTCTATCGTGCTGTTGTTCCATAGCAAGAGTGTAAAAATATCGGACATCTCCTGAGTAAGAGGTAAGAGTCGTCAAATCGGTAGACTCGGTAGACTACTGACCATGATGTGGCCGATGACCGCGGTTCGGTTTCCTCGTAAACAAACTAGACTCCGTCCAGATAGGCCCTAGAAGCAAAAAGAACACGTTAACTTAAAATTTACATTTTAAGGCAGCAGATCGTATCTGACCAACGGGCAATCCTCGGGGCAACGACCAACACCCAACACCAACTATATAGAACAACAAGCAACAAATCCTGTTACTCTGTTTAAAGCTCTGTTTCAGGGTTCGGAAAACTACATGTTACTTTTAAAAACTACATAAACTACATTACATGTAGTTAATGTAGTTTATGTAGAGGGTGTAGTTTATGTAACCTATGTATGTAACTTTCAAATATCAAAGGTTTGAGGTGAGGTTATAAGAAGTTGAAGCTTTAAAAACACATAATGTATTTAAGAAAACGGAAGAAATATGGCTTTAAATATAATATTTTCATCATATTATCTCTATTGCACCTCATACAAAGGAAAATTATTCATAATATCAATACATAGTTTATTAACGTAGTTTTCATGTAGTTAATGAACTGGAAAAGACGTAGTTTTGAAGAAAAACTACACGTAGTTAATCAGGTAAATTACGTCTTAATTAACTACTTCCGAACCCTGCTCTGTTTTCAAGCTCTGTTAAAGTAAAGTAAAAATTTCAGTTAGCGTCTCTTTTTTGCTGCCAGGGCTAATCTGGACGGGGCCTACTTTGTTTACGCGGAATCCGAACTGCGGTCCTCGGCCATATCATAGTCAGTGGAAGGAGTACCTCTACACTCCATAGACCAGGGTTCGGAAAACTACATGTTACTTTTAAAAACTACATAAACTACATTACATGATCATTACGGTAGTTTGTGTAGAGGATGTAGTTTATGTAACTTATGCCGAACCCTGCCATAGACTAAAGGAAGTGTCTAAATTAACTCTTACTCTCGAGATATCCGATCTTATCCGGCCTCGAACCGGCGTGAATGAGCAGTGGGTGTACCGAGCAGTGTGTATCAATAGATTTTACACTTTTCCTTTGGACAACAGACAACAGCACGATACAGAGTTTCGAACCGGTCACCCGTCCATCCACCAGTATCGCCTTACGTCGCTTAACTTCGGTGTTCTAATGGGAATCGGTGTCAACCAGGGTTCGGAAAACTACATGTTAGTTTTAAAAACTACATAAACTACATTACATGTAGTTAATGTAGTTTATGTAGAGGATGTAGTTTATGTAACATATGTATGTAACTTTCAAATATCAAAAGTTTGAGATGAGGTTATAATAAGTTGAAGCTTAAAAACACATAATGTATTTAAGAAAACAGAAGAAATATGGCTTTAAATATAATATTTACATCATATTATCTCTATTACACCTCATACAAATGAAAATTATTCATAATATCAATACATAGTTTATTAACGTAGTTTTCATGTAGTTAATGAACGGGAAGAGACGTAGTTTTTGAAGAAAAACTACACGTAGTTAATCAGGTAAATTACGTCTTAATTAACTACTTCCGAACCCTGGTGTCAACCGGTGTTTCAACATAGCTAGGCCGTTGCCAAGCTCTGTTGATGGTATTATAATGGCCCCACAGAACATAAATCGGGGTTTTAAAACCTTTAAAGCCCCGTTCTCAGAACTGCGTCGTGTCGACAGCGACACTGATTGACACTTCAAACGACCAATGGGAGCTGTACTAAATTTAAAATTGACAGCTGTTTGAATTTTGGACTTCAGCCCCGTTCTCAGAACTGCGACTGTCGCCAGCGACACGACAAAAGAACCAATCAGATTTGTGCAAAATTCAAACAGCTGTCAATTTTAAATTTAGTACAGCTCCCATTGGTCGTTTGAAGTGTCAATCAGTGCCGCTGTCGACACGACGCAGTTCTGAGAACGGGGCTTAAAGCCCCGTTCTCAGAACGACGTCGTGTCGCTGGCGACACAGTTTGACATTTCAAACAACCAATGAGAACTGTACTAAATTTAAAATTGACAGCTGTTTGAATTTTGTACAAATCTCATTGGTCCTCTTGACGTGTCGCTGGCGACAGTCGCAGTTGGTTGTTTGAAATGTCAAAATGTGTCGCCCGCGACACGACGTTGTTCTGAGAACGGGGCTTGAGACTCTGGTCCGAAATGACATCCAAAAATGACATTTGTCATTGTCATTGTCACCATTGACAGATCGACACGTTTGTGACAGATTTTTATGACGTGAATTGTTTTTATTCCGGTTGTTTCTTCATGGTTTTGTAAGGTTCTCACTTTCTAACAATATTTTTATTTTCGTAAACATTGTGATATATAGTTTTAACATACAATATGCATCTCTGGACGTGTACTTTAATATTCCTTTCATATATGTTTTCTGTCCATTGTATAATGTGGAATTTAGAACCGAACACTCAAAAATGTTTGAAAGAAGAACTACAAGGCAATGTGCTAGTTCGCGTAGAATTTGAAGTTACAGAACAGCCAGGACAATCAGTAGATTTTCATGTATTGTATTATATAAATTTAGTTATATCAGTGTGGTTCACATTTTTTTCTCATCAATGCAGGTAGTTGATTCAAAAGGTAACACACTTCAGAAAGGTCAAGATGTTGTTAAAAGAAAGTTTACCTTTAACACAGATAGTTATGATGTATATGAAATTTGCTTTGTGTCTCGTGTACCACCACGTAAGTTAACAAATTACAATGATGTATTAGACTAGCAATTTTATTTTTATGACATTCAGATACAAAAGGAATGACCCAATTAGTAACATTAGTAACTAAGCATGGTGTGGAAGCTACAAGTTATGATGCAGTAAGTAAAAACAGTGCATACTCTGTATATTAATTGATAAACTTTAATTTTTCATCTTAGTTGGCTGAAGCTGCAAATTTGAAACCTATAGAAAAAGAATTGAAAAAGCTTGAAGATCTTTCAAATGCAATTGTTAATGACTTTGCATTTATGAGAAAGCGTGAAGAGGAAATGAGGGATACAAATGGTAACAGTTGAAGGAATAGTTTAATTTTTAAAGAGTAAATGTTTTTTTTTTCTTTAGAATCAACAAACATGAGGGTACTATACTTTTCTGCATTTTCAATGATCTGTTTATTAGGTTTAGCAACATGGCAAGTACTATACCTCAGAAGATATTTCAAAGCTAAAAAGCTGATTGAATAGCATATTAAATCATTTAGTAATTTTTTATTTATTTAAGTCTTGGTTGGTTTATATATTTTTTCAAAAACTTTTGGAAGTTATCATAATAAAGACATTTTATTTCAATAATATGAATCAGTTTATTCTTCTGATTATAATTCTTTTTGTGTACATATAAAGCAATTAATGTAAACTTGGATTTAAACAATTGTAGATATATTTTTAACATGGCTTTTGAGAATTTTTTTGTAAACATACAAATGTTAAGACATGATAGTGCTAATTTTGTTTCTAATATATGAATGTGGCAATATATTATTTTGATTTAAAAATTTATTTCACATTATTCATCCTCAATATAAAAAATACAATTTAGAAAGAGTAAAAATTAAAAAAAAATAACTTTAAAAAAATGTTTATTTAACAATACTGACAATTCTTAAAAGTAGGCTTATTCCAAACTTAAATCTGCATCTTCACCATCAATCTTAGCTTCTCTTCCATGTTTCAACGTAAATTCCCACTTGGTTTGTGCAAATAAAATGTCTGTTACTAAGAATATTTGCGCGATAGCATAGGCTAAAGTAACTCCAAAATAAAAATTTGCATTTGCTGATGCACTGTATATCCATAAATGCCACAAAGTGGGTGCCAAGCAACTTGTCATGAATAAAATCACTCCAACAATAACACCTTGCTGACAAAATGCATATAAGTGCAGGAAATTTGGTAAAAAACTTAGGACAAAACCCAAATCACTCAGACAAGGGTATGACTTAAATATTGTTATAAGAAAAAGCAAGGCAATAGTTAATATAAAGGGTCTATTACTAAATTTAATTGACAGTGGAACTAAATAGAGTATTGTAGCATTTATTTGAAAGGAATGTATAAACAGCTCTCTGAAATGATCAAACACTTCAGTAAAGAAATACCAAAACAAACCTATATTTGGTTGTAAATCGGGCACTGTCCATATTGAACCATAGACATTATTTATAAACTTGAAACTCTTGCTTAAACTATTATTATAAAAGGTAATTAAATATACGTATGTAAGAAAATATAATACTACTAACAATGCTTTGGTTTTACTTTTATATACCTGACTATAATAAATATATAAAGGTGAAAGCAATATCAAAGGATAAAATGAGACAGATGAGCATATTGCCAATGCCAAAGAACTGACAATGGGACTACCATAAACCATTCCAAACACAAATAAGGCAAGGAAAAAATTATGTATGCCAGCTGTTGAATAACCAACACATCCCAAGAATGTGTAAGGATTAAATAAAAAAGCCACCAAGACATACAAAGGTACTTTTTCATAATATCCTTCACTAGGTAAATATTCATGTACATCCTTAGGATATTTAGTTCGATCTCTATGTTCTTGATGAAACTGCTTCGCATAATGTCTTGTAGCGGCATAAAGTAACAGTGCTGTTCCAATATCAAAGAATATAAACATCAAACTCACATCTCGAAAAACATTCTGTGACATTATTTTATAGAATATCAATGCAGTGGGTGTCTCATGTAGTAAATCACCATCATAAGGATCTATGTTTCTTGACAACAAAAACAATCCTTCTTGGACTCTTTTCCAAGAACAAATGGGTGTAGAAATCTCAAAGTGATTCGCGATTATTGTTTGATACTTTGATGACATTACTAAATATCTCAAAAATGCTGCGAGACAAAGTAGTAGCACCACTTTTGAACACGACTGAAGAAAATACGTATTTTCTTTCTTTTTCGCATGTTTGGAAGATAATGTAGACATTTTCATACATGGAGTTATGGAGTTGTTTACAATTTTAACTTAAGATTTTTTCTAAGGTTATAGTAGTAGTAGTATATTAGTTTAATGGCCACAGCTGCCAGGGCTATCCGGCCGGATGGTAGAATTAACTACCTACGGTTAAACGTTTATATAGATGATGACACACAGACGAGGATCGCTATAAGGCGAGCCTGGGAAATCCCATACCCCGACTGTTGAGTTGAAGAAAATGTTGGCAAAGGAAGATCCTGCAAAATAAACAAATTTAATAACAATTTCATTTAAAATGTCAAAGATTAATTCCACAACTATCTAAGAATTCGCCTATAATATTAACTACAATTGGATGAGCATGCAAAGCGGAGGTAAAATTATGAGGGGATGTTTTGTAAAAGCCAATAAGTGATTTATATAGTTTATCTACTAAAGCGGGAAATTTATTGCATTCAAAAAAGATGTGGTTTAACGTTCCAATTTCTCCACACTCACATAAGGAATCTGCATTTACACCTATACGATGTAAATGGGACGGAATTAGACAATATCCGCTTCTTAATCTGAAGAAGGTTGTCAATCTTTTCTTTGTAAAATCTTTACATGATCTAAACCATATGCTTTTGTAGGGAAAAGTAACAATTTCTGCATAATTTGTCCCTTTTGTACAAGAAATCTCCTTCCATCTGCCTTTCCATAACGACCAAAACTTTTCCTTAAGAATTGGAATAAAATCAGTAAACCAACATTTAATCTCAGCATCTCGACCATCTGTCTTTCCAATATTTGCTAATTGATCAGCTTTATCGTTGCCTAAAATATTCGTGTGACTGGGTAGCCATACCAATGAAATTCGAAATTGTTTTTCTCTTAACTCAAATAGTTTACGTTTTGTAGCAAATGTAATTTGACTGTCCTTAAAATTAGGATAAGCTGCTAATGCTCGTAAAGCACTTTCACTATCACTAAAAATTACAGAATCCTCCAATTCTTTGCTTTCAATTACATTCAATGCCACGTAATAGCAAACATTTCTCCAACAAATATGGAAGCATATCCAGGAATCATATAGGTGGCTTCCAAATTTAAATCCGGGCAAAATATACCCACTCCAACATTTTTATTTACTTCCTTAGAAGCGTCCGTAAAAACTTAATTTTTTGTTTAAATTTTAACTCAATAACTTCTCTAAATTTAATAGAATTATTTTCACTCTTATTTAAATCCAATCTTAAATATTCATTTTTTACTAAAATAAAGAGGAAACTTATAATAATGATGCATATTAACAACATCAACATCTTGAACATGAGGAAAAATTTGATCAATGCCTTCAATAAGAGGAGGAACATGATAATATCTTGACCAAAAACCAAATGATTGATTATATGCCCCATAAGCTTCTGTAACAGACTGAATAATGGGATTATCCTGAATAGAGAATGCTTTTAAAAGCAATTTAGTGGCCAAAAATTACGTCTAATATTAAGGGAAGTTCTGCCGATTCTGATAAAATGATATTAGTTGGACAGGAACGCATAAACCCTAAACAAATGCGTAAGGCTTGAAAATGAACTTTATCAAGTTTTTCTAATAACTTTTTAGAACATTTAGCTAATAATATACTACCATAATCTAAATGTGACCGAATATAGGACTTAAAAAAAATTAACATAGTAATTGGATGTCCCGCCCACCAGGTTTTACAAAAATATCTCATTAAATTAATACCCTTAGTAGCTTTGGAACACATAGCCTCAATTTGATGATTCCAAGAAAACCGATTATCAATAAAAATACCCAAATATTTAACATATTCAACCCATCTAATAACATGATTTTGAAATTTAATATCTGGTAAAATACGATTATAAAATTTTCTTTGAATTAAAATACAGGAAGATTTTTCAGGAGAAAAACTCATTTCATTTAATCTCGCCCATTCCTCAAGACTGTCCAATGTAACATTTAATTTATTAACTATCAAATCTATATCATAACCTTGAGCCAGGAGAGCAATATCATCAGCATATTGAATTAATTTAACATCATCCCCAATAAAGTCACTAACATTATTAATATTAATATTGAATAAAATTGGAGCTAAAGGAGATCCTTGTGCTAAACCCTTATTAGTAAAACCAGGACCAATCAATTTTTTTGAAAAATTATCAACAATATAAATTTTTCTGTTGGTATGTATCTCTTTAATGTATTTACAAATATTCTCTTCAATACCCAATTCAGCTAATTTACGAATCAAAATAGAAATATTAACTTTATCATATGCATTTTTCATATCTAAAAAAACAATTACTGAAAATTTATTATATGAGAGTCCAGAAATTATCGATGAACATAAAGAAGTTAGTGCTTCAAAAACTCCTTTACCTTTTCTAAACCCGAACTGAGAATCACTGAGAATTTTGTGGTTTTCCACATACCAATCCAATCTGCATTTCACTATATCTTCCATTGTTTTCCCTATACAAGATGTGAGAGTAATTGGCCTGTAACCGCTAATATTATTTAAATTTTTATTAGGTTTAGGAATTGGACAAACTAATCCTGTTTTCCAATCGTCTGGAATTAATTCTGAATGATAAAGAACTTGATTAAAGAAGTACACTAAAAATTTAATATGATTCAAAGGAAGATTATTGATCATGGAATAAGTTATTAGATCAATGCCTGGAGCAGAATCTCTCTGCTTTCTAAATGTGGCAACCTAATAATAATAATATAATCTAAGCACGGCATATAAATCACACGGCAGGCTAACTCTGCCCAGATCCCATTGTTTAATATTTCTATAAAATTTGACCTTGAAAACACCATTATGGGTGCCGAGTCAGGGCCGGATTAAAACGTATCAAAAAATTTCCCAGAAAATAAACTTTTGCTAGACAGGGTCGTATTAAAAAAATACTGTAATTGACTGAAACTGAATTTTATTTACACAATACTTTTATCTAAACAAATGAATCGTTAACCGCGCATACTCCTCAAAAAGTAAAAATGAAAAAATCAATTAAACATTTAACTTTAGAGAATAGACAATTAAAATTAAAAAACATGCCAGGAGTCCAGGAGTTACAAACAAGAATTAAAGAGATACCCAATAAATTATCTATTGAACAATCTAAAGAGGCTACGTACAAATTATGTCTTCCTTTCACGCAGTTGAGCAGCTCTGAACTGTTCAAGAACGCGATACTCTCCCTCCATTCAATTGAGTCATAAAGTTCAGAACTGGTTCCGCGCCATATGGAGGCACCAGGCTATCTCGCACAGCTCCTTTCAGAACCGTTCTGAGCAACCCAGGCAGGGTTGCCACAAGAAAATGTTTGATTGTGCAGAACTTGACCATAAAAATGTGTAGCATTGTATAGGCATCCATGACCAATAATTATTGTAAACTATCCAATAAGACTACGTTCGCCAAATTTTAAAGCAATGCCAGCAAATATTGCAGTGACGTCAAAGTTGATACCGCGAAACTAACGATTTTATGTACAAATTAGACCGGTTAAAAAAGACTGTTTAAAAACTGTAAACTATTCAGGATTGTTTAACAAACCAAATTTGTCCATAGAAACTACAGTCCTTGCTGATATGGGAGGAAGTGAAATAGGAATTTAATAATATTCACGTATGCAAACGAGTGGAAGTGAGACTGAACTACAGTGACGTAATTGAACAGTGAAATTTGGCCAAAGTACGTGTTATATATTATTTAAGAAATTAAGCAATCCTGTCTATTAACCGTTTTTGACTCGACCAATAGACGGTCCTTGACTCATGACCCAGTTCATACTCATGACATTTTACTGAACACTGATGACGAAAAATTATATTTTTTAGTTCAAAATTTAAAGTTCACTTGCGGCCTCTTTTAATGTAACTTCTTAGATAACTTAAAAGCAAAAAAAAAACAGCTTTTGTCGGCTGATTTACGTTATTGTTCTAGTATTATTTTTTATAAGAAATATGTAAATTCTCAAAATGTGTAGCACAGGCGATTGTGGTGTAGCTGTGCAATCATGGAAGCAAATGTGTAGCAAAATACACAATTGTGTAGCTTGTAGCAACCCTGAACCCAGGGCGTAAAGCTCTGGAACTTGAAATTCGCAAATGGAGGACAGCAATACAGAAGCTACAAAGAGCTTTGAATAGCATTGGTTAAATGGGAACTAATTGCGTGACGTCACGTTTGACATCGGGACACAATAGATCTCTAAGGTCGCAATGATTAGCCCCCCTCCTACTCACCGCATGGATATCAAACTTACGTTTGACATCCGTGCGGCTTGAACAGCATTTCAAGTGATGTATAATTCTGGGTCTCTGCTCCTAGCGACCTGCATTTCAAATCCACGCATCGGGGTTTTTTTGGGTTAGTTTGGGTTTGAGAAGTAAGAATTGTACATTTTTTCTTGCAATTGTACCTATGTACTCCTTGACTATCAAATGTACCCAAAATAGTACAATTGTACCTATTGTAACAACACTGACGACTGACTACGACACTGGTTAATTTCTGTCGCTGGCACCTTAGATTAAGAATAAAAATGGCTGGCACCTGGCTAAAAAAAAAGGCTGGCACCCCTGATACAAAGAATACAAGGTATGATATTGCGCAGGTTGGTCACTACGTCACAGGTGATAAACGGCACCATTGGTCGGCTAGCTCTGCGCGCCAATTTCAAATTGTCAAACAGATTGTGTCATCTGTGAAATTTGATTATGTCAAAATGTGAAAATAATTTTTCAAACGTCAAGCTCGATGATTTGACATAATTTTTGGGGTTATGTCCTAATTCTTCTCTATTTTAGGACTTTTTTTGGTAATGGTGTGGATCCGGTGGCTGACCTTGAAACGAGTTTTTGCTGCATATAGTCACAGACACTACGCATGCGTACATCTTCGATATTGCCAGATTGCAAGTTAATTTGGAAATATTTTCAGTAAAAAACAAATATGTACTTTTCAGTGTTTTTTTTGTCAATATATACCGTATGATCGAAAAAACGGAGTCGAGTTGGCTGGGAAATGATGATTGACGACATTTCCCATATAAAATGACAGCGATCTTCATTTCATAGTCATCGGCGCTGACGCTATTTTTTTTCAATCATAGTACGGGGTATATTATTTATATTGTTTATTTTAATATTGCGCACAACACGTGAACGCTTATTATGTATTTTCATAGTCAATAAAATTAAATAGAAATAAAAGTCTAGATTCCTATAATTAATCTAATTGCTCTAGATTATTATGCTACGTTTAAAAAGGGCTTTATTAAAAAAGGGATGTGTCCAAGTTTTTTCTTTTTTTTTTAATTTTTAAATGCTGTAGCTCCATGTCATGTTCATAATAGTTTTTTTTTTAACATTCCATCAAAAGTACGGAGGCCTTGAAAGGCCTTTTAGCCTCCGTAATTAAAATTGTAGATTCAGCTTCAGCAACATTAACAGTTATCTTGTTTAATTCTGCTTATACATATATAGCATTTTTCTGCTACCTTAAGATTTCTCTATTCTTA